TAGATGCAGTTATGTAGCTCGCTTGGTTTCGCTGTCGGTTATTTCCACAGTCAGCTGGCATCGGTGTCGCTGGGTGTATATGATAAAGGGAAGTTGTGCAACCAAGTTTGCCGAGTTCGCAGTTTTTCGCCAATAAAAAAAAATAACTAAGGCAAAAACTCACGGTTTTTCAGCATTTTTGTAATAAAGACATTATTCTCTATCAATAATCCGCCCAAAACAGGGACATTTCTACTAAATTCTTGTGTTTTTTCGACGTTTTTCGAAAAACCTGCGATTAGGCTGCGGAAGTAGAACATTAAGCATTTCGTACACTGCCGATACCAGCCGATACCCCCCCCCCCCCGCGCTCATAGGGAGTGCGTACACTGGCAGCTGATCATAGTTCAAGATGGCTACCCCCTTAGAGACGACGTCAAAAGATCTATGTCGGATAAAAAACTCAATTCCTTTAGTTTTTTCCACCAACCAACCCCCACCCCCCACCCCACTGAAACTTAATTGATAAATATTGGTCATGGCGTCAGACTACATTCACCATTAAATACAAATTGATAATCGGACAGTAGTATTGCATAGCAGTTGGTTGTCAGGTGGGTGTAAAAAGATTTTACAAATGCACCTCATTTGACGCACAGACTTACACTTGAACCAAACAATTTTTCTGTTTTTTTCCCTTTTCGGTTATTTCTGTCCATGATTGGATAGAAAAAAACGAACTTCAAATACTTCAAGATTTTTTTGACTTCATTAAAAATAAAATCGTTTTTATAGGATGGAAAATTTTAGAGGTCAAAAAAAACTCCACCCCAAACACACATCTTCCCGGCCCCGGAGGGGATGACAAGGTTTACAAATCAGATATTAGTAGAAGAAAAATAACTACATAAAAAGTAAAGAAACAAAAATAAAACAAAAATGATAAAAATTTGTATACAAGGAATGTGTTACTGGCTTAGTTTATGTAGGTGCTGCTGTCTTATATTAAAACAGTTTTTTTTAAATATTGCGCTAAAGGAATTGACATTTTCTCATCACTTAGTAATGATATGAACTTCAAGTTATTTTCATTATTAAATTTGGCAAAATTTGGTATACATTTATTAGCTACAATGTAAAGTTGTAAGGTAGCCACAGTGGCGGATCCAGAAAAATGTATATGTATTGGGGGGGGGAGCTTCGCTTAAAATTAGGGAGCGTAAATCGCAGAGAAGCTATGCGTAATCCAGATCATATGAATGGTCATGCGTTTGGATCCGCCACTGGGTAGCAAGAAGAGTTTGTTTATTGTCTCATTCAGAACCGTAATTTAGCGTATATATTTCAAAAGCCTGAGTATATAGGGACAAGTTCGCACAAACTGGAGAGTCAATGTTTACGTAATTACCACGTGAAATTTGCGCAAGGCATGCATTGTCTGTAATCGAGTCCATTGAAATGCGTATCCGATAATCAAAAAACCTATTCTTCCGATTTCTACGCAGGTTTGTTTTTTTGTTTCCTAATTATTCCATACTTGGCACTTTTAATAGACTATTAGTCTGTGACAAAGCATTTTCTTAAAAAAAAACAAAAAAAAAACAGACATATTTCGCACCATCATTATCTTTTGAACGATAACTGCGAGTATGAATGTCCTAGTACGAACGCACTTGATTTGGCGGCGGTCCCAATGAGTCGTACTCAATCAAATCTTCAACTCGAGACGCGAAAAACAGTTTTGAATAGTAAAACATTGTAGATTTGCTGCATTATTGTAAATATACACTAAAAATGGCCAAACCTATTCACCACTGATATCATAGAACTCATAAAGAGTGTCAGATAATGAATAATTTCAAGCTCGAGCGTGAAAATTGAAGAAAACTGCTGGCATTTGAGTCCGTACTCCAGGAACGTTCTGGTTTCCATTGTTATAATAATAATAATATAATAATAATAATGAATTTATTGCATCCTTAGCAATAATTTCCATTGGTTGAACAGCAATAAAATGTTAGTAATAAAGTACAATACATATAAAACTAAAGTAAAAGTAAAATGTCAGTTATTGTTATTTCTGATTTCAAATATTTTGTATAAGTATTCACCAACTTGTCTTATTAGTACATCTTCTCTTGAACTCATAATATATTTAAATATCTGGTCATCACTTTTCAATTCTTCTGGAATATTGATATTATTAAATAGCTTTTATCTTTCTGTTTGGTACCTAAG